CCCCCCCCCCCCCCCCCCCGCCACTCGGGGGTTTATCCGCCAGAGTAACGCGCCCTCCATGTCACACGCATTTCTGAGCACAGATTCGGAATCAAAGGCAGAGACAGCGGGCTAATGCGCCTGCCCATCAGCGTCAACACGCTGGCCAACTGCTGCGTCTTCCACTCCGCCAGCCGGACTGAGAGCGAAGGAGGCGGCGGCAAATGAAAGCGGGGGCCGTCGAAGGTCACGGCAGATACAGAAATACTTTGAGACGCCCTGAAAAGAGCAGGCAGGGCCCCTGAAGGCCCCATCCGCTGTGGGATGGTCTTTATTTAGCTGCCGGTCTCCCAGCGCCGAGCCGACGACCTGAACACCCACTAATGTGAGTCACAAGCTCTCCCCGGTCCAGGTGGCACTCATGGGCGTTTACGCTAATCTGAGTGTCTATTCTCACCAAAAACCATCATTCGTCGCTCTGGGCGATCAGCGGGGGGGAGAAGCAATGGCAGAGTGGCATCCTAAAGATGCTCTTCGGGGGTGAAGCAGACCCCAGTCTGCAGCAGGGCTGTGTTTCGCTCCATACAGACACTCGGCTTCCCAAAGTAGGTTACTTTCAAACTTCAAACTGGTATATACATCTATACTGATGAGCTGAACATTGTCATTAAAACCGCATGAATGGGAACCTCCTGTGCCCTGGCTGTCAGCTGACCCATCAGAGGCCAATGGGCTGTCAGCTGCCAGTGCTGAGTCATGCTGATGCTTCAATTAGCATCAATTATTATCAAATAAATAAATAATAAACTAATGATAATAATTGTTATTAATATTATCATTATTACTATTACTATTCTTATTGGAGGGAGTGTGTGGCTCAGCATACGATGTCTGTGCCTGTGATCAGAAGGTTGCTGGTTCAAGCCCAGCCTCAGCACGTCTGTAGGTCCTTGAGCAAGACCCTTAACCCCCCAACGCCCGGCTGTCCTTCGCTGCCATGATTTCTCTCACCTACAGAGAGCTGGGGGAAGCAAAACGGAGCAGTTCCCTACAGGGATTAATAAAGTAGCAATTATTATTATTACCATTAATTGGCACTCAGTGTGCCTCATTGGCTAAGAGAAAAGTCACATGGGCGAATGAGAGGAGCTCATGTCCAAGCTGCTGTCTGCCTCCTACAGAGTGGGCACAAGATAATCAATTACAAAAGTCAAGGACGAAAAAAGCAAAATAAAATAAAATAAGAACTATACAGTCACAACATGCAGGCTAAAATAAAATCGTGCATAATTTGTTATTCTGGCCAAAAATATTCCCCAAATATCTAAGGATTCAAGCTACCCAACTTCATTAAAGAGAATGTCTTATATCTTTATGTAACTTGGCTAAAAAATACCGAACTGTCTCTGCTGTATACTGTAGTATAGTACAGAAACTCAGTGCAGTCAGCTGCTTAATGGAAGCCCTTTTCATTAACCTAATTGTGCTGTATAACTCTGATGGATGCATCGATGTTATTCAGTATCTGGACATCTCTTGGTAAGTGATTGTGTATTAGGTTGCCACTGATTTCAAGTTGAATATGTCAGAAATTCCTGTTCCTTTCTCAGATACAAAAACGGATAATATTCTCTAGCATGATTCGAGATACATTCATTGGTGGTACCCCGCAGTCTCCTGATGGTACGGAAGACCAGGAGGAAGGAGAGTTTGGAAGAGGGAAAGACACCCCCACCACCTCCGACTGCCGTCGTGAGGAGCGCACAGGGACCGGGGCAGCGTGCTACGCTACCAGATACCCTGGATGGAAGATGGTGCTACGTTCCAAGATGAAGAATGTTCTGATGCCCAACTTCCCATTCTGCTTCTCCGCTCCTACGGGAAGCTCTCAGGGGAGGCTGGGCCATCCAGGAGAACCAGACGGAGGGAGCAGGAGAAGCCTCAGCTATCACAGGCTTTGGACCTTTTCTTGAGCACTTGTAGCTACAGGGGAACTATAATAAGCTGGTGGGAGACAAAAGGCAGCTTGGAGCTGGACTAGACCGACCGTCTGCACTATGGGGATAGATCACCAGCTCCAGGCTGGAAAGAGCCTCAGGTGATGAAAGTGCTTCGCGTTCGCTCTTCTTAAAGGGACCCTGTTCTTGTTATTCATTGAGCAGGACTCTCCTGTTTATTTGATCCTTTTGTCCTGTTTATTTCCGCTACTGTGTCACAGACTCTCCGCACCATCTGCCAAAGCCACCTTAAAACCCTTCCATCCTTCTCCCATAACCGCTTATCCAGTACATGGTCACGGTGAGCCAAAGGCAGGGAACAAAAGGCTGCTTAAATCCCGGCGTTACAACGGGGACAGATGTCGCTGTCTTCCTCTGTGAGCCTCTTCCTGCTTAGCAGTCAGCTCTGAGAGCAGAACAGCAGGCACTTCAAGCACACTCGTGGTTTTAATATTTCCACAAGAAGACCCTAAACGACGCAATATGCTGCCTTTTCCATACGGGCTGAGCGAGGTCATGGCGAAACGTCACGCTGCAAGCAAATGAACCCAGACGACGGCAAAAAAGGGAGAGATAAAGGAGCGTTTGACACCTCTGATTCTCCCAGCCGTAGCTAATCCGGCCCGTTTGAGGGACATCTGCGTGTACGAACCATGAAATCCTGCTGCCGCTCCCAAAAAAGGGTGTTTTATATGAAGCATCACTATGTCAAGCCCCCCCCCCCCCTTCCCCTACCCCACCATTGACCCACCTCTCAAGCCATTTTCACTCATTAGCAGCTTAATGTCTGACCAGCCAGCTAATCAACTGCGGAAAACGATAACAAAGCTGAAAGCGAGATGGAGGGAGAGTGAGAGGAAGGGAGAGCCCATTAGCCGCTGGATAGACAGACGGGCACCACGCCGCGGACCAGGGACAGACCCTCATCCCGCTCGTCTCCTCTCTTCACTCCCTCCTCTTCCATAGGGCATCACACCACTTTCATAGTCTTTTGCATTTTCTCATGAGAAATTATTCAGGTCTATCTGTCTACCTCTGGTCCAAAACTCTCACCCTTAGACCAGATGAACACATAACCAGCCTGACTGAGACCTCAAACCCCTCAAATCATAAAACACTGGTAGATATTATAATGGTGCTGCCTGGCTTCCCTATATTTTCATAATTTTCCAGGCTTTATCACATTTTATGTAGATGTATCTCTAGTTATTTAATGACTATCACAATTAACGCAAATTTTCTGATATCACACTCTATTTGATCATTTTAATTTAAGGTTAAATTCGAAACGTGACTGGAATTTCAAAGCACTTTACTGTCATTGTGTAACACAACGAAATTACTTCCATGACAATCGTAATGGTGCATTATAAAATGTGAATAATTAACAGTACAATTAATAAATAGAAAATGAAAACAAACAAAATCATATAAAATATGTTCAAAATATTTTCAAAATATACAATGTTAAGGGCTTGGATAACCATCAAGTCTAATCGAAAACCAATTTGTGGAAAGCCCTGGTGTCCCTCGTGTTCCACAGGGGCGCGTTCAGTACTGATCTGTCTAGGTTTTCCCATGGGGCACCCTCATCCAGAACCTCTGTCCTAATGACAAGAACAATGATGCCCGCAGTGAAAAGCCCCAGGGAGCTTTTCCATTGGCACTTGCCAAGCAAACCCCTCCTCCTCCACCTCAATGGACCTATCAGGCCTCACTGCTTATTCTCTTACCTTGCCGGTCATCATTAATCACCTAGAAGATAATTATTAATGACACCACATGGCTGATCTCCAAAGTAAGCACACAGTCTTCCAGAGGACTAAGGAGACCGTACCTTGGGCAAGGCGTACTTGGGGAACCTCATCTGGACGAAGTCGTTCCGCCGGTAGGAGACATAGTGCTTCGTGCGGTTCCCAGTGGTCACCTGAAGACGAGACGGGAGGAACACAGTCACATGGCGTTACCTGCGGAAGGTCGAGTGGCTTCGTCAGGCTGTACGAGTAAAGCCTGTGTTTAAGAGCATCGGCGTCAGACTCAGTCGCTGTCTGCATCTGTTTAGTCAGTGAAGCCTTATTAGCAGTAGATGAAAGCATCAGCAAGTAAAATGAAATAAACCTATGAGAGGCTGCATAGAAAAGACCAGATAACTAACTAGACAGGGACTACAGCTCATGCCTTCAGGTGGTCTATAACTCCCATCGAATGTTCTTGACAGTCCACACCGAAAGGCACGCTCTGACAGGCCCAGACAGACATGTGATGGAGCGTAACGGTGATTTAACACGGCAAATCTGACGACTGTTTTAATTGAAGCAACCAGGTAAGAATATTCTCAGAAGGTCCGGCCTCCTTCAGGCTCGGGGAGAAGAAGGACATTAGCAAACACGCGCTTCTCCTTTGGGAGCGAATGCAGAGGGACTCAAAAGCAAACCGTCACCTGATAACGTCCAGGGTCCGGTTAGCCGGATGCCAAACGACAAAGCCGACCGGGAGGGAGGAGAGCGGAAGAGAAGGAAAGGATGAATGCGGAGGCAAGAGAGAGGGAGGGAAGGTAGGTGGGGAGAGGCAGAGAGAAAAGAGAGGGAGGGAAGAAGAGGGAAATGGGAGGGAGGAGAAGACAGGAGACTGGAGAGAGGAGCAGAGAGTGTATCACATTATAAGAGCGCGCCTGAGGGGAATCCATCAGGATAAAACTCAAATGTCAGCTTTTATTACTGCCAGAGCTGCGGCAGGGTGAGGCTGCCCTTTCCCCGGCCCACAGTGCCCCAGAAAATCAACACATCATCACATCATGACGTAATTCAGGTCTACAGTACCTCATACGGACAGCAGAGAGACACGACGATAACCAAGACGGCGGAGAAAGGGACGCACTGAGACAGACAGGCATTCATATCACATATATACATGCGTGCATGTGCAAGACACACATATACAGTATGTATACACACACACACACACACATTACATGATTAATCATTGGGATATTCCAGCCTTTTTGGTATGGTTTAAAAGTTACTTTTCTTGATGGACATAAGAGCAGTACGTCTCAATTAAACCTAAAACGAACCGGTCACCATAAATATTTAGCCTGGTTATCACCAGTCATTGAAATTGTGCTCATATATATATCTGGGTGTCAAAGCTGTGGATCATTTTTTCAGTTATTAATGGTAATCATGTACCTCAGCCAACAACACAAACTGTAATCTTTGCAAAGTAAACTCAATAAATCAGCCATCATACAAAAATGTAACTTGAGGATCTGGCTCTATCCAGACCGATAGGCACAAAAGTCATTTATATTTTGTGAAGAAAGAAGGAAGTTTTTGATTTATGACATACATGTGAAAATAACCTCCTTGAGACAGAGATATGCCACTGAAGAGAAATGTTACTGCCTCTATCTGCAATTGAAAAAATGAATTAGAAACAAGATGAATATATTCTGTCCTCCCTTTAATGGAATGGTAAGGAGCAGCAGGTATCCAGAACATCCCATAATACAACACTTACAAAAGTGTCTTTATAGAACAAAACAACAGCATCCCAGCATGAAGAGATTTTACTCAAGAAAAGACCACAACCTGCATTAGTAACATCAACATACTTTCATGTAAATGTGTGAATGTATGTGCTGTTTCTGTCATGACCTGCCTGTACGATCCTCCTGTGTGTCACGCCCCCCTCGTCTACCTCGTGTGGAATCCCGATGTACCCAGCTGTCCTGCATTATTCTTGAGTTCTCCTGTGTATTTAAGTCCACGTCTGAGTCCGTATCCCCAGGTCTGTCATTAACATGTATACTGTACCATGTTGTGTGCTTGTGGCTCATGTTTCCCCAATAAATCCCGTATTTTGGACTCCCGCTTCCCGACCTTCATTCCCGGGTTCCTGCGCGCATGACCAGATGTGACAGTTTGCATGTATAAATGCATGTATGGATTTATGATCTTCACTGCTTTCATTTTATGCAGTACTTGTTAACACTCGAAAGTACAGACATAGGTTTAGTCCGTATTTGAATAGCATTTTGACGCTGCAGCTACATTTTTGATAATCGCTCATATCTGTTTTTGGCTTAGTTGCTGGGTTCCCTACAGCCACATCTGTACCACGTGTTATGATCTATGTCTCTGTATTATGTGCATTTAGAAATCTTTCCTGTCATGGTAACAGAATAAATAACAGTTTCCAGCATTTATTGGAGATACACAAACAAAAATGCTTCAGTGAAGCATGAGGAACAGGCACCAGCTGTTTGGTAATTTTCTATAGATTCATCTGCGTGACGCTGTAAATCAATGTCATGTTAAATTACAGTGTTTGGACGCTTATTATGAGTGATGGTGTGCCGTACAGCAAGATTGTATGAAAATTAAAGTACTTTCTCTGACGTCCACCAAATCCACCCCCAGTGACATCCAGATGCTTCTCATGTATCAAATGCAGTATTAATAAAAACAGTCATCATCTCCATTGTCCCTGCCCCCCCCTGGTGTCATGCAAATTAAAATAAGCTGACCATGGCTGATGTTACAGTACAGAGGTCTGTAAATCCCCACCCCTGCATCAGAATGTGTTGTAGAGGCTTTGTGTAAATTAAGCAGACCACCCCCCAATCCTATAGCCAGGACGGGGTTTATCCCAAACACTCCAAAGCTCAGCGTGAGGGTAACCTTACCAACCATGTCATGCAGAGAGCTCTCCACATGTCATTCAGGAACAGCCACCAGCGACACTATGGGTACAGAACAGGCCCCAGCTCACAAACCGTGACCGTGAAGAGCTCTTACCTTCACGAATATGTAGCTGTCCTGCACGGACAGCGAGTTCTGGTCGATCTTGCCGAGGAACTGAGCCGTCACCATCTTGTCCGAGCAGTTCTGGATGAGGCAGGTCACGTAGAGAAAGCCTGTGGAGATGTGGGATGCAGGTCAGGATGGGTGGGTTTTTTGATGGATGGATGGATGCGGGTGGAATTTAAGGACCTGGACATAGGTTTGGGTCCAAAGATTAACTGCACTGGAGTTACACTTGAGTGAGACACTTATCCTTGATTTGCGTCAGAGATTCACTCAGAAGGATACATGGATAAAGTAAGCAGTGACGGACAACTACCTCAAGTCACTCTGAAGGAATTAATTATTGTCCCTCTTAGCAAATATCAGCCCTCTTAGCACCGAGGAGAACGCAGATACCTCCAGTGGGCAGACGCTCCTTACAGCTGGAGCAGTCAGCACTGCCAGGCAACACATCCAGAAGATTGTGCCCAAAACCTCCCAGCATCCACTGGTACCGCACCCATCCTGGCCACTGCACAAAAACTGACTTAATCACAGCTGTAAATTATATATTTTTATCCACAAACGCAGCGATGATTTGAATCGCTGATTTCGGAGCTGGCTGCAGCCCAGGCAGTGGGACGCGGAGGCGCTGCGGTGGTCCATCTGGACGCCGCTGCCCAGCTCAACCGCGCTCCAGCTGGATGCTTACAGAACCGCTTTTTAGCGCGTCTCTCCGCTGAACCGTGTCAGCTCACCCAGGAAAGGCGCCCAGCCAGCTTATTTCCCTCCTGCACCTCCCTTAGGAATTTTCACTTCTTGTTCGCCGACCTCCTTTGGCCTCCTTCCACTGAAAATCGCACGACATTGTTGCTCTTACAGTACGTCTATCAGCTCTGATTGTTAATAATTTATATAATTATTGCAGTTACTCTTACAGTTTTTGTTACATTTTCAGAACAACTATTCTGGGAAAATGAAGCAAACGGATTCAGCAACTAAGACGTGCAAAAGCACCGACGCAGCAATGATTCATGCGAGCCATAGGGGGCGCCACATAATGGAGGAATTCACGCCGGGGGCGAACTGGGTCTCACGCAGCGTGTACGCTGTCGAGCCACAGGAGAGACAGGGCAAAACCACAAGACAAACACGGGTACACAAGGTGATTCTCCGAGTCGTTTCCGTGACCGCGCGTCTCCTCGGTTCGTTTTGTTATTATTCCATATTTAATACTTGTAAAGCAGCTACGGAGGGAGGGTGATCTGCCTAAGTGCACGGACGTGTAGCCAGGCCACCTGAGGAGGAGGAGGAATGTCAGCGAGGCAGGACGACACGGCTCGGACTTATCCCCGCCACACGCGGCGGCTGCTTATTCAGTCTGGGTTTCTCCTCAAGGTGAGACGCGTGCGTCGTGCTCCAGGTAACGTATGGCGCGGAATGTTCTGGAGAATAATTACTGAAATCGAGGACAAAAAGGGCACTGGCTGGGGAAATACAAAAAAAGGAAGCAGAACAACAGAAAAATATCTAAGGCTGAAATTAGACCTGTATCGGACAGTGTGGTTTGTTTGTGTGGCCTGGACACGCCAATCTAACACACCCATGCCTATTTCCAAGCTGGGAAAAGACTCGCTGAAATGACATGGCGGAGGAATGCACGGGGATGGGGGGGGGGGTCTCTCTGTCCGTCCCGTCCATTGGCCTCAGACTTGCTTTAAGGAGCCAGAGGTAGAGTCCCTGCACCCAGCCCTGGGCTACACCCCCCAGGCCAGCCTCGCTTCAAGGAAACCCTGTGCTTTTTTTATCTCCTTCTTCGCCTACAGCATGTGCAACCGAAGGGCATGCTGGGAAAAAAGAATCACACTCAGAGATTAGACATGAGATTGGAAGTTGAAATCACTGGAATCTTTGGTAACTTACCCACCAGACGCCCCCCCCCCCCCCCACAACCCAATGAATGGGTAAATGGGTAATATGCCTCTGTAAGAAGTTAACTGGATTTAACGATACTAACAAGTAGTTCATGCAGTCTAACACTGCTTCATGGTGCGAAAAAACATGATGTTCTGCAGCACTGCGGCGGAATAAAACAGCGCAGTGATGGTCTAAGGGACTGCACTGGACTGCGACTGCACAGGACTGCGGCTTTTTCTGTCCCTGACCTTGGATAAAAAAGGAAAAGGTGATGTCATTTCTCCCCAAATGGTGACTTTCATTCTGTATTTGTCCCTATGGCATGATTGCCCAACCCCTCATTAACAGATATTATACTGTAATATGTAAAATGGGGTTACAATGGGGGGAGGACAGATACAGGCCATACTAATGACAGAAGACTGCACTCCTCTCGCCTAATAACCCATTCTACGGCGTCATTACAGCTGGCTGCGGGAATCAGGGCAGGCCACCTGACTGGGTGCCCCACATTACACAGCAGGCCCTGGGGAGAAGTGGCAGGCGATTCCCAGGCTGTGTGCGGCCTTCACTGCATGGCCTTCCAATTCGGGGAATGGTACAGCAGGAGCGTTACAGTGGAATGCCAGCACCCCACATCAGAAGCCGGCGAGGTACTCTAACCCCCCCACCACCATATTGTCCTCACACACCGCTGTACTTTGAGAGTCTGCAGCTCACTGGCTGATGCTCTTGCTAGCTGCTTAGTTAAAACATAAAGAGCCCGGGGCTGAGGAACACCTTCTGCTGACGGTAGAGTTGGGGTCAGCATAAAGCTCGCTCTTCACTCACAGTTACGAGGAGCCCCGGAGGAACAACCTGCCTTGACCTCTCCACCCAGGTCACAGAATTTATGTCACTGAGGGAACATTCACATGGGTGGCAGTGATGGTGGCGATGGTGGAGTTCATAAATTCGTATTTTAAAGCAGTGTTTCTCAACTCAGTCTTCAGGGACCCCCAGTCAGCCCACATTTTAGCTCCCTCCCAGCTTCCAGTGCACCTGTACCAGGTATCTGGTGTCCTTATTTGGCTGGGAGCTGGGAGGGAGCTAAAATGTGGGCTGACTGGGGGTCCCTGAAGACAGGGCTGAGAAACCCTGTTTTTATAGTTGTGTAAGAAACACGCACACACAGGCACACACAGGCACACACAGACACACACAGACACACACAGGCACACACAGACACACACAGGCACACACAGACACACACAGGCATGTTCTCGCCATACCTCCGCTCGTCTCCTGCATCTCCATGTGCACCAGATCCGGGTCGACGTCCACGCCTGCCACAGACCTGCCGCCACGTGGGACACATCGGTTAGCGATCAGAGTCAGACACCACGGCTTCAGTTCGGCCGACATCTGCGCAGGCACATTACAAATGACCTTGCAAATGAACGATGCACCAGGCCGGCCTGATTAACGAGTCCCGTGTCACTCGCCGAGCTCATATACAACCAGCGGTGTTCCGTGAGAAAAACAGACAACTTTAGTGCATTATCCCTGCCACAAAATTAATGTAATTAGCGCAGTAAAGACTGAGACATGGCTTAGAACCTCCATTAGGGGTCCAATAAAGCTCTCTTTACAAGCAATTAGCAAGCTGGTATGAGCACAGAGGAAGACGTGCACTTCGTGTGTACGATTTCCCCATCAATCTTCCCCCAAAAAGCCCGGTTATCTGGAAGCAATTCCCCAGCATGTGTCTAAATAGCCCCGTGTCAAAATGAGTAATCAGAGACTGGCAAGACAATATCCCCACATACTGTAAGACACAGCCTCCGGAAGAGATGACATGGAATACCGATTTTACCGTCAAACTGAAAGTTCATAGAATACAAAACATCTCCATGAAAAAAAGCCAGTTTTCAAAATCATTTACATGGAAATGACATACATCTTTTGAGAAAGCAGGGGTCAGACAGTATTTGGAGCAGTTGGGGATTAGGAGCCTTGCTCAGGGGGAAGTGGTGACACCACATTTCCAGGTGAAACACTGTTGAAACACCTGTTGGTTTAATGGTTTCATTCCATATTTAATCTGTTGTATGCAGTCTTATGATTTCCCCCCGTTAGTCTCCTCTCTTCTGTGTTTCTCCTTCCTCTCCTGTGTTATACCTTTCTGCTTGTCCCGCACGTGTCCTGCTCTACCCAGTGTTAGTCTCCCCTGGTGTTCCAGCTGTCAGGGTTCCTCTCCCCCGCGTTTCTCTCTTCCTGTTTTGCTGACTCGTCCTATGCATTTGCCCGTGAGACGTGGGAATCTCCCTTCTGCAGGGCTCTCGCGTCCGTTCACATAGCATGATTACCGTTACGGCTTACCGGAAGATTAATAGCTTAATAACCTCAAAACCCAACACTGAAAAAATGGAGAAAAAAAAGCAGAAAATAGGTTACAGCAGACCACCCCGCATGGCCAAAGACCGACTCAGCTTCTCAGGAGCACCAGAGTTCATCTGATTTACACAGATTGGCTTCCAGGCTGCCGGTTTTTAGGAGAACGAACATCCAAGAGAGGATAAGCGCATTCCAGAGTCAACAATCAGCTAATTCTTCCCTTTCTCCATGCATTAAGTCCCCAAGTAAATTTAAGAGCTTTGCAGATGCGGAAAATGGAATCGCCAAGGGTCTGCTGCATGTGTTACTGTTAGCGGCTGAACGTTAAGAGCCAGACCCTGCAGAGAGAGTCATACATCTTGTGATATGTGCAAGGAGGGTTTCCTTGCATGACATACAGCGATAAAGCTGGCGGCGTGTTGACCAGTGACAGCTGCGGCTCACGCTTTACACGCGAATAAAAAGTGACAGCATCACGGCTCATTTAGAGCATTTCAGAGCTTCACGCTCAAACCTTGGCTGAGCCGCCCACCCCCCAACACAAAAGAGAAGTGTTTAAAGAGCAGATCTGGCATTTTGCCTCTGGCCAGTGATGACTCGGCATGTTTATTACAGACACGTAAATCTGTCTGCCCAGAGCTCAGAACCTCTACGTTTAAGGGCACCAGCCTGAGCCTGGCATGACCTGCATTTTCTTTGACCTTCTGACTCACGCTCCTGGGGAAACGCATTAAAGAACACGGTGTGTAATGAGGTTTAGGCCCGCAGCTGGTGTTTGGAAAAATCTCGTTTCCGATCTTCATTGTGTCATCGTGGCTGTAGCTCACTTTCCTTCTATAAACCCTCAACACATGAGCTAAGCAGCCCAGGAACCTCTCTCCTCACTTTAAAGAGACATTTGATTTAAAACAAATAGACACTTGGTGGCTTTTTATTGCATCATATACAATCAGGGGCTGAAATTCAATCGATGAATGCTGGCTGTTATGCACATGCTGCGCATCGACACCAGCTTTAATATCCAAATGCCTGGAATCTCATCAGAGAGCTGATTGGCTGGTAAAGAAAAGTCACCTGAAGGACTCCAGCCAACCAGGAAAAACTGAGAGGAGCAACGAACAAACACCCACCAAAAAAATCGATCCTTGCTGACACGTTCCTGCAGCAACGTCCACTTCCTGCCCAGGTCTGTTGACACATAGAGCTAAAGAGGAAAGACAGAACAGAGGACAATTAATACCATTGTAGAGTACAAGCATTCAGTGGGCACTAACTGGGATGCTGGTGTATAATGAGATCAAGTCCCCACTGCCATTACATTCTGACCAGCCAGAAGAACCAAATGCAGACTTTTATTAAATGTACTGCTGTTCATTAAGTGAGGTGCCAATTCTATAGCAGTGCATTGTTTGAAATTCTATAGAAATATAAATACTAAAATACTTGTGTTTTGCACATTTTTACAAAGGATTTTTATCGGTACATGAAGTACAAGCCATGCACACCCTTCAAAGGAAATGTTTCTTGTTCTCAACATAACCTATTAATTTTAGACGACTGTTATGTGCTTTGTTTATGTGTTTGAGAACTCAAGAGCTTGATCCGTAATAAAAACCTATTGATTTCCTGTTGGTATCCCTGAATTCCAGGCTGTGTGAGGAAACGCTGACCCGCCTTTCAGCCTGATGAGGGGACCGGCCTGTTTGCTGCCCACACATGAAGCGTAGCACTCAGCTTAACGTTAAGGACGTCGGTAAGGTTGTCGGTAAGCCTGCGTTGTCGTGGACCACATCCAGCCCTGTGGCTGATTAGTTTAACAATACCTCAGTCATCAGCGAGTTCCTCCCAGACGCTGCTGCCAAACTAAATACTTTCTCTGGAAGCCCGGGCCATTATAAAGTCTCACGGAGAGAAAGGACAGCCAAATTCCCGGGGTGAAGTAAAAGCTGGCAGAAGCCCTCTGACAAATGAACGCACCGTAACTTCACATGACACACCTGGCGGAACTGACAGGGGTCCTAAAATGTAAGAGCGTTCCGGGGGGAGGGGCATCTGGGGCGACGCATAGGCCAAGGCCAGACGACAGCCTTAGGGGCGAGCTTTTGTCAGGAATGCGGAGATTGTGTCTGTGGCAGATGAACGCAGTGCCGAACGAGGCGCCAGATGAAGCTCAGCCGGACGCCGAAATTCCAAACGAGCGACAGCAGCCATGCGTGACGTGCGGGAAGACAGGATCGGGCGTTTTCTTTGCTGAGAGTGAGGGGCAGAGCGCCTAGTGAAGTGTTCCTACTGCAGACGGAAGTCTGGAGCAGGTGAGTGTTTATTTAAAGCAGGGATTGTTTACTTACTCATCCCGAGTTTCAGTGATGAATCAAATAAACACAGTTGTGCCGTGATCACAGTGCGGAAGGCCTCCCTTCCCTCATCTGCTAAAGGCCAGCGGCCTATCAGCGCTCTATAACAGAAAAGCACTTTTCCGGCTTCCCAAGTGCGATGGACCTGGCGACGCGTGATTGACTCGCCTTTCCCTCCTTGCTGTAGGCCAGCAGCTTGTCCTCCTCCTTGGGGTGAAAGAGGAGCGTCTCCACAGTGAAGGAGAGCGGCTGCCGCTGGAAGGAGGTGCCCTCGTCGGTGCTGATGAAGAGCATCTGGTCGCGCTCGTTGATGGTGGAGCTCACGAGGATCACCTGCAAGACAAAAGGCTGCCGTGTCACAATGAGGCGACTCAGTAATAAGGAGCGGCGATGAGTTTACATTCACACGGAGTCTGACTGCAGTGGGATTCAGCGGGTGAGGAAAGCCAGACCCTCTCACGCAGTACTTTTGTTTGACTTTACAGGTCATGAAAGTTTTATCCGACATCGGCTTACCAGCAGAAGATGCTGGACAATGGTAAAATAAAACTACTATTTGCTGACGGACTGAACCATTCTAGAGATCTTGAAAAGATCATGAAACTGCCTGGGGGGGACCAATCGCAAGCTTGATGGGTTTATCATTTTGTTGGCCACCATAAACATCCGATGAGGCGATTTATCGTCCAAATAATGACTTCAGTCACGCCGCCGAGCCTGAGATTAAACNCTTACCAGCAGAAGATGCTGGACAATGGTAAAATAAAACTACTATTTGCTGACGGACTGAACCATTCTAGAGATCTTGAAAAGATCATGAAACTGGGGTGGAGAGACCAATGAAAAACCTGCAGGGTTTATCATTTTGTTGGCCACCATAAACATCCGATGAGGCGATTTATCGTCCAAATAATGACTTCAGTCACGCCGCCGAGCCTGAGATTAAACGAGATCACCAGCACTGAGGCCCCGGGCTGCCCAGTTGTGAATTAAGGTTAAGCGGCCTGTGCACTGTCTGTGAGTTCACGTCGGCCACGATCAGAGCGCTCCGTCATCGCACCATGTATCAGAGCCCACTGGTCGACCGTGCTTTACCCAAAGAGATGCATTTCAGGCCATCCCTCTGTTTCCTCCTGAGACACTTCAGCAGATAAAAAAATCTTTTATTACACAGTAAGGTCTGGATAGCCTGCAGGCATGAAAACCCAAAAATGAGACAGGCAGAGCTCCCCCCTCGCCTCGATTTATGCAGGAGCCGTTTCCCTCTGCTGCTAAACGGGGCGCACCAGACTCCACGGCGCTGCTGAATCACTGTTTTCAGAGAAGCCGAATCGGAAAAACATATCGATCCATCACTCCGCACCGAAGGCGATAATAACAGATGAGGATGGAACCAGGAGCTTCTTCAACATTCACGAAGCGCAAAAATGAGCCATAAAGGTTCCTCAACGAGGATAAACATGGAATATTGAGAGAAACACTGGGAAAATGCCAACGGACTATACACCGTGAGATCAGGGGTGTTAACTGGGTGTATGTGCTCGTGTATGTCTGAGCAGGTGTTAAGTATGTGAGTCAATACACGCGCACACACACACACACACACGCACAGCGACCTTCAAGAACGAAAAGCAGAAGACAAGCATTTCCTGCCCACTGATTGACACGGTGTCAGTAATGGGTGCGACCAAGCCTGCATAATTGGATTAAGAGGGTCAGAGTAGCTGAATGGCGCACCGCTGCAAATACCGCCGAGCGTGGCCGAGCAGTTCCTCCGGCCACCAGCAGGTGGTGCTGTTGCTCAACTGTCGAGGCCATTGGGTCGCCAAACCAGCGGGGCCCAGTAGCAAGGCCTTGGTAGCCCGCGCTGACCTGCCTTTCGCTCAGTGCCAAGTCCCCAAAAGTGGGGCAAGGGAGAGGGGAGCCGCAGAGCATATCCTGTAAAGCGAGCCGCTTTGGAAAACAAAGGCCCTCCTCCCGTCATGGACCCCGCGGGGAGCGAGCACAGGGCCTCCATTGTGTGCCATGTTTGTGAGAGCAGACGGGTGCAGCGTGCTACGGTTTCCTGTATCTGTAGCTGCTGGGGCCGCACTGGGCCGGGGGGGTGGTCAGGGGACAGCGCTGTTGGCATGCAGTGTCCAAAAGGCATTCACCACCTAGATCTCAGGTAAGAAAACGGTGACACCAGCGTGACACCTGAGGATTCAGGAAGCCAATAGCGGTGAAATACCTGCATGGGCCAGACCGGCCACACAGCCCGGCAGCAAACACACCCACCAGCCTCTCGGTAGAGAGGCAGCCAGGAAGGAATCTACAGATTCATGCACTGCTCCGATTCCCAGCACAGGGGCATGCTGGGAAGCCGCCGGAGCCTGAGCTCTCCGCTTCCGCGCACAGAACGAGCGGAGATCGACTCACAAACGCAGGAAGACGCACAAGAGGAGGGTGCACGGGTGAGCACGGCTCAGACACACACACGCATATAGCAGACTGTGTGGAGTTCTGTCTGAGGGCATCACACGGGTCAAATGGGCGCCGGAGCGAGGAATACCAGACAGCAAGCTGTTTTTGCATGTAATCGGAGCTGCGGACGCAGGTGCAGATCCCAATTTGGCCACCAGGGGGAGCACCATCATTCCCCAGATGCTGAGCTATTCAGGCGGTTATCTGACTGTTTGGGGCTCATCTGGCATGTCCAAGTTGAAAGGCCCTTCTTTAGCCGTCCAACCCTCCACCCCCTTCATCAATCCTGGCCATACTGTCCTTGACCGCTTGATTATGCCTATTTAGACCAGTTTTCCACGGCACACTGTGAGAGGTACCTGATAAGATCGCAATCTAATCTCGTGTTCAGATTGTGCCTGACTCATGACAAACACTATAGCTCCGCAAGCATGTATCCATGGTGATAGTGTACATGTTCATTGTCCTTGTGTTTCTCAAAGAAAGCCATTCAAACAGCTCCCACAAGGGTCCAAGAAACTAACCCTTGCTGATTACTTGCTGAGTACAACCTGGCTCTTAACCATTACGCCACCTGTTGGTCATAAAAGCACATGGAGTCACAAAGGAATGTGTCTCTTTATTGCTACTATAAATCCTTCCCCCATTATGTTAATAATATATTGTACGATGTGATCATTATTTTTATTACATTAATTACAAACTGTAGAGGATGATTATCGGTAAAAATGGGGGTGTCAGTGTGCATATGCAGCATGAGAGTGGAGGCCCAGGTTGAGCCTCCAGGCCCAGGCCATGCACCACGGCTCAATGGTGCCCAACCTTTCCTTGCTCTTGTCATGGCCATGCTGGGTGCAAAAGAGCCACACCCATCTTAGAAAGAAAAGCCACGCCCCTCTGAGAGAAAAAAGCCACGCCCCTCTCAGAGAGAAAATCCACGCCCCTATCAGAGAGAACAGCCACGCCCCTCTCAGAGAGAAAAGCCATGCCTCTTTCAGAGAGAAAATCCACGCCCCTATCAGAGAAAAGCCACGCCTCTCTCAGAGAGAAAAGCCACACCCCTCTCAGATAGAAAAGCCACACCCATCTTAGATAGAAAAGCCACGCCTCTCTCAGAGAGAAAAGCCACACCCCTCTCAGAGAGAAAAGCCACACCCATCTTAGAGAGAAAAGCCACACCCCTCTCAGAGAGAAAATCCACGCCCCTCTCAGATAGAACAGCCACGCCTCTCTCAGAGAGAAAAGCCACGCCCCTCTCAGAGAGAAAAGCCACGCCCCTCTCAGATAGAAAAGCCACGCCCCTCTCTGAGAGAAAGCCACGCCTCTCTGAGAGAAAAGCCACACCCCTCTCAAATAGAAAAGCCACACCCCTCTCAGAGAGAAAAGCCATACCCCTCTCAGATAGAATAGCCACGCCCCTCTCAGATAGAAAAGCCACGCCCCTCTCAGATAGAAAAGCCACGCCTCTCTCAGATAGAAAAGCCACGCCTCCACACAGGCTCGCCACCCTGGAGTGGAGGGAAGCGATTCTTCACAATCAATGAAGACGGGAGAAAAAAGAATCTATCTAAGCAGCAAAAGCAGCACAGTAAATAAGGATCGATGTTCGGGAAGGATTTACATACTGCTCCTCAGCTAGTTCACCATTATTAATAGTCTGCTTAGCAGACCAGTTTTTTCATGGCAGCTGACCAGCTCACAAGCAACACATGCATCCGATTTGTCGTCTTCCTTTCGGAATTTCACATGCCTCCAACATTCAGCCCTGCACAGACTCCGGCCCTCACTAACTGCATTAGCTTAATGAGTGTCAATCAGAGCGTGTGTCCTCAATCACCCCCCCGGCAGCGCGGAGCACTTGGCACGAGCCGAGACCATGTGACCTGGCACCGGCCTACATGCAGCCGTAGCCTAATACTGCCACATGAAATTAAGGCTCACATGGTGATGGGGTTGGCTGACGCGGCCCCCTGGCTGGGCCTGCAGAAGTCCATTACCTCTGAGTGTCAGGGGGCCATGTCAGTGGGGATGGGGGGGCAGGAGGGCCTCTCAGCAGGTTCAGGGCTGGGTGACAAGAGGGGGAGGAGGGGTGGCCCTCAAGAATGACGAGGCGAGCTCAGAATTTATTTGGTCAAAAAGGGTGATGGAAAAAAGAATAGCAGGCCAGCTCTCTCACAGGAAAAGAATCTGCCCCGGAAAAGTCTGGAGGTATTGGAATTGCCCCCATGCCATTATTGTGTCAGTAACCCAAGCCAGGGTGACATGGGATCACTGCGGAATGGAGAGACCCGTCAGGCATGTGCTGTCTCACCACGCGTGTGTTTACAGCCACCGGGGAGGGAAATGAGCTGTTAAAAGCGTGTGGTGAAGCCACAGATCCAGTGTGTGGTTGCCCTTCTGCACCACTACATGAAGTAAACCAGCAACATAAACCAAACCCACAACTAAACCAGAGCTTTATACATCCAAAATTCTGCCTTTGTCTGCTGTTATTCACAGAAGCTGAACAGGCAGAAGCTGAATTAGCAGATATGGTTCTGAACATGAGCATAATTGCGGATGGGGTCAGTGTGGTGCCTCTGATGAGCCAGAGATGATATTTAGAGGAAATCTTTCCATGCAGATAGTCTACAGGATTCAAACTGTCTTTTCCTTTCAGTTGCTTCCCCATTATGATAAAGATCAACCCCCCCCCCACCAGTAGCACAGAGCCCCCAAGTTCTAACTTGACCCCCTGCCCTCATGTCAAAACATATAAGTGAAAGACCTCAGTCAAGGTGGGCCTCAGAGAGGAGGGGAGCAGCTCTCACAGCACGGGAGAGGAGGTGAAAGACATCCGTCAAGGAGGGCCTCTGAGAGGAGGGGAGCAG